TCTCCAAGTGCTTCGCTGGGGCGAGAGCCGGTGGTAAGGCCATCTTAGGGAGAGCTCCGTTTCTCAGCACTTGTCAGTGTGAAGTGTCTTGCTCAACTAAGGACCCAGCAGCGGACACACAAGAAGGTTCCACAGCTTGGGGCTGGGGTGCCACCTTGTAGAACATAGCCGATGTTCTATAGCCAATGTACAGAAGTGCAAATCAACACATAACTGAATGTACATAAACACAGTGCCAGTGGCCGTAGCGACGACAACTGTGAATATACGCAGTTAGAAAATAGCCCCATTATAGCATAGCACCTCAGTAAGCAAACAAACAGTCATAACTGTAGCTACAACTGTGAATATATGAGTTTGCACAGAATAACCAGTTGCCCTGATAGGAACGGGGCAATATAACAGCGTAGCACATGCACGTACAGCATTTTACAGAAACTTAAGATGCATAGTTAGATTAGGATGGCTAGCAGCACTGAAGGAAACAGGGCAGCATTACTAGCATAACACATCCGTTTACGTACATACATCCAGAACTGTGAATATGCACGGTTAGATAGGATAGCTAGTTTTGCACTGAAGGAAACAGGGCAACAAAATAGCAAAAACACGTCCTTGTACGTGCCGTGTAGTCACCATAGCGACAGAACTGAATATGCAGTTAGATAGGATAGCTGGATGTTGCACTGAAGGATAGAGGGCAACATAACAGCATTACCCATCAGTGTGCACATATCAAACATCTGAGTGTATAATGCGGTGCAAGTCGATGAAGCGACCGAGACTGCATGAATATGCACAGTTCACATAATGGTCAGTTACGTTAGCAACATAACTGCATAATCGCTTCAGTGTGGACACAGATGCAGCGCAAGTCGCCGTAGCGACACACTGTGACTATGCACAGTTAGAATGGATAGCTAGGTGCACTGAAGGATACAGGGCAACGCGATAGCATAGTCACATTAGTGTGTACAAAAACACAGCGTCAGAGGCATCGCGACATCGACTGTGAATACATAGTAAGTCAGAATAGCCAGTTGCACTGATGATACAGGGCAATATTTGGCGGCGTAAACATAGCACATCAGTGCGTAGCGTGTACACAGCGTCAGTTGCACCGCACAACAACTGTGTACGTAATCAGAATAGCCATTTGCACTGAAGGATACAGGGCAATGTACAACGGCATAAGCATAACACATACAGTGTGTAGAGTGTACATAGACACGGCGTCAGTTGCATACAAGACAACTGTGAATATGCACTGCGTAGTGATCAGAATAGCCATTTGCACTGAAAGAAACAGGGCAATATATAATGGCATAAATCATACACATAACAGTGAGTTGTACGTACGTAACACAGTGTCAGTTGCATCGCACCACACTGTGAATACGTAGTAATCAGAATAGTTATTTGCACTGAAGGATACAGGGCAAAATACAAAGGCAAAATTCATAACACATAGTGTGTAGTGTGTACATAAACACAGCGTCAGTTGCATCGCACAACAACTGTGAATACGTACTGCATAGTAATCAGAATAGCCATTTGCACTGAAAATTACAGGGCAATATATAATGGCATAAAACCCAACACCTAACGCTGTGTAGTGTGTACGTAACACAGCGTCAGTTGCATCGCACAACAACTGTGAATACGTAGCAATCAGAATAGCCATTTGCACTGAAGGATACAGGGCAACAACGGCAAAATTCATAACGCAGTGTACGGTGTGTACGTAACACAGCGTCAGTTGCATCGCAAGACTGTGAATACGTAGTAATCGGAATAGCCATTTGCACTGAAGGATAAGGAACAGGGCAATATATAATGGCGTAAATCATACACATAACAGTGCGTAGTGTGTACTTAACACAGCGTCCGTTGCAACGCAACAACTGTGAATACGTAGTAATCAGAATAGCCAGTTGCACTGAAGGGTACAGGGCAATATCGTGGCATAAGCATAACACACACATATCAGTGTACATAAACACAGCGTCAGTGGCATCGCACAACTGTGAATCAGAATAGCCAGTTGCACTGAAGGATACAGGGCAATTTATAGCGGCATGAATCATGAACACATATCAGTGTGTAGAGTGCACGTAAACACAGCGTCATTTCATCGCACAACAACTGTGAATACGTGGTAATCAGAATAGCCATTTGCACTGAAGAAACAGGGCAGCATATAACGGCGCAAATCTTAGCACATATCAGTGTGCAGTGTGAACAAACACAGCGTCAGTGGCGTAGCGACAACAACTGTGATTACGTGGTTAAATCAGAATGGCCAGTTGCACTGAGGGATACAGGGCAAAATATAAGGGCATAACAGTTAAATCATAGCACATATCAGTGTGCAGTGTGTACATAAACACAGCGTCAGTGGCGTAGCGACAACAACTGTGATTACGTGGTTAATAGAATAGCCAATTGCACTGAGGGATACAGGGCAATATATAAGGATATAACAGTTAAACCATAGCACATATCAGTGTGCAGTGTGTACATAAACACAGCGTCAGTGGCGTAGCGACAACAACTGTGATTACGTGGTTAATAGAATAGCCAGTTGCACTGAGGGATACAGGGCAATATATAAGGGCATAACAGTTAAATCATAGCACAAATCAGTGTGCAGTGTGTACATAAACACAGCGTCAGTGGCGTAGCGACAACAACTGTGATTATGTGGTTAAATCAGAATAGCCAGTTGCACTGAGGGATACAGGGCAATATATAAGGATATAACAGTTAAACCATAGCACATATCAGTGTGCAGTGTGTACATAAACACAGCGTCAGTGGCATAGCGACAACAACTGTGGATACGTGGTAATCAGAATAGCCATTCGCACTGAAAGAAACAGGGCAATATATGACGGCACAAATCATAGCACATATCAGTGTGTAGTCTGAACATAAACACAGCGTCAGTGGCGTAGCGACAACAACTGTGGATACGTGGTTAAATCAGAATGGCCAGTTGCACTGAAGGATACAGGGCAGCCTGACGACATAAGCTGTAAGCTGTGCACCTCCATTACCAGAGCGGGGCGTCCTGACGCGGCGCTCTCCGTGGCCTGTGTCGCCACATTCCCGGTCCCGCCTTCTGCCAACGGTGAAGATCCGGTTCGTTACGGGTTCGAACCGTTTTGGCGGCTGTAGCCGAATTAGGCGGGACGAGGTGCCGACGAAGAGAGACATCGAGGAAGGCTGGACGTATAGAGATCAAAAGTTTCGGTTTAATGTCTGGCCGCGGCGCGACTAGATTTTATCTGCTGTGAGAGCTGGGATCGAACACGGGTCTCCCGTGCGACGGCTTTGGGGTTCGCCACTGAGCCACAGGGGGAAACAACCACTTACGCGCCTTTAGACACAGAGCCATCGCCTTGCCTCGTCTCTCTGGATGCGTCTTCGCATGACTTACCATAGGACGTCGTGAAGACGGAATCTTTCTTGCAGTAGCCTGGCTGTTAGATACCGGGCTAAGTAAAATAATAAAAGTATCCTTCCGACGAAGCCTATCGCGTCGAGTCCGTCTAGCGAGCCCGCGAAAAGGACCGGAGAGGCGACGGGCAGGATAAAAATGTATCTGCTGCGAGAGCCGGGATCGAACACGGGTCTCTCGCGCGAAGGCTTCAGGTTCCGCCACAGGGGAGAACGACTGTCAACTCTTCTTTGGGCGTTAGAGGGCCCACCAGCAGCCGCTGGCGGCAGTGGGCCTCATCCCTGCTGATGCCCGGAGTTTATGAGGGCGCGCACTGGTAGACCAGCACGTATGCCAGTCGTCCGTGAGTGCGGCCTCGGTAGATCCTTGTTTGGGTAGAGCGAGTCAATACCGCACATATCTGGCATGTAGCAGCCATCGGATGCGGGGAGGAAACATGGTGAGTAACCTCTATTGCAACTTCCACGATGACTTCAGATAAGACTTCTAGCGTGAAGAAAGAGATTCTGACGTAATTGTCGCGCCCATGCTATTTTATACTGCCCGCGGACCGGTCAGCATTTGCATGTTTTGCGTCAATTGGCCAGCTGTCTCCAGCTGGCGTTATCCTATAAGATTTCAGTGAAAATGGAGAAGGGAGGAGTTCCCCATATACGTCAGTATGACGTAATGTCGAAGTGACCGCCTTGAAAGGGAACACTGCAAGTTACACTGCAAGTAACACTGGAAGTAGTACCGTGTGGTATTTAAATGAATAAAGTATTAATTTAAATGAATAGTGTAGCCTATTTTAAATGTTTATTTATTTATTAATGCTTAACACAATACACAAATAATAACAGATAAGTAACAAAAACAACACCAACAAAAATAATAATAATAATAACAATGGGGGAATAATATAAATTAAACATATTGATAAATTATAAGAATTACATGACACTGAAAAAAAGGAAAATAATTACAAACAGATATGTTTTTAAGGCTTTTTTGTTCTTACACAACTTTTCAAGTTCTTTAACAAAAGAAAGAGAGGTTTGGCATTTAGATATTTAGATTTATGAATATGGAATTTTGCTAGTAATAAGATCATATTAATTACGTAAAAATGACCTTTTTTAGATTTATCATAATCAACAAAGGAGCCTGGACCACATCCTTCCAATACAACACACATTCATTATAGATTTCAGACCTAATAAATCCTAAAACATCTTGCCAAAACATTTTCGTAAATGGACAATGCCAAAAAAGATGTGTATTTTAAATGTTTTAACGAAAGTTAAAATTAAAATGACGGAGAAACAGCGAGCCGTCAACATTCCGCATCAAACAGGACCTCAGATTGAGGAGCTCTATATATCGCCTGCTTGAAATTATACGAATATTTATATAAAGCTTGAATAATAATAAAAATATATTTCCCAATATATATAGATAATATTTATTATTTCATCTGAAAGATTATGACAGGATTGATTTGAGATATATAAGTATTGGCAACATTATCTATCTAACATTACCTATTTACGCGACGCGGCGCGGTCAGGACCTGAAAACATGGGGTCGAAGAAGCATCGTAGGAGCCGATCGCGGTCTTGCTCTCAAGAAAGATCCCGCAGACATGTCCGCTCGCCAGAGGACAGACGAAGTCGGAACCGCTCTCCTGTGAAGGGTTCTCGCAGACGAAGGCGGTCTGACAGCGGCGGCTCCAGGAGCAGCGGAGGTTCCGCAGGCCCGAGCCGACACAGAGGCAGAGAGTCCGGCCACTCCAGCGAGTCTGACCGCGATCACAGAGACAGAAGAGCACGATCACACGGAAGATCAAAAGACAGAGACAGGTACTTTGACACAAATAATCAAACTATTCTGTAGGAATTTCAGTTTGTCCGTTAGAGGGGGTACGTGGAAAAGTTTGGAAAAAAAACAGTGTAAAAACAAGTTGAAGTGACATCAAATAGTATAGCAACGACGAGTGGAAAGACGTAATAATGTAACGTAATAGGCAAGCCAAGGCGAATTATATATAACTCATTTCATTTGTATAGTGTATATAGCACGTTTTATTTATCATGGAAATTCAAGTTCAAGGAAAAAAGTAATAACACAAAGGCTATTAAAAAAATACAATTGCTATAAAGTAATAAGTTGAAGAAAATAATAAATTAGTTAAAATGGTATACTTAAAAGGATTATGAGGGATAATAGAAACGAAATATTTTTCAAATAATATTTTAGACATTTATGAGGATTTTTAACAGTTTTAATTGAGTCTTTTATACAATAAGCCATGTATTAGCCTTTTAAGTTTCAAAGTCGGTATGAAACGGAAGTTGTAATATACTTTTCTTTTTCATTGTGATGTATATCAAAAAATGTAGGGCGGGACTTGATTTAGTCTATCGGTTGATTGGGTGGTTGTGGATTGCTATTGGTGGATAATTGGATTTCATGTGAGTGACAGGTTGCCCTGCCCTCGCGCCAATAAACATCATCAGAGAAGACATGCCGATGCAAGAGAGAGGGGACGTTACTTTGAATAAAAATTATGAGGCCACATGAATTATAAAACGAATAATTATTTGTAGTGTGCACTGATAAATTATTTATAACAAATAGTGCAATATTCCATAAAAAAAAACACAAAAATTGTCAATTTTGATTTCATGACTATTGGCTACTTTATAATGGGGGTCCTTCATACAAGGATGATCTGAAACTGAACTGAAAACTCCTGATTGTGATTGCAAGTGTTCTAACTGTTTTTTTTATTATTATTTATATTTATCGATTTAGCTCTTCAGGTGATAATCACAATGACCATAAGAAACATAAGATGAAGATGAAACACAAGGATGAAAAGGGCAGCAGCAGGAGGAGGAGGAGTAGAAGCTTGTCACGCTCCAGCACGGACTCCAGCGTGGAGCGCGAACGAGAGAGGAGACGACGGCAGAGCAGGAGCCCCAGCCGGGAGAGAGGGAGGAGACAGAGTAAAGAGAGGGAACGAGACCGATGTAGACGCTCGGAATCCAGATCCTCGAGCTCCTCTTGCTCCTCCGTCGACTCTGATCAGGGGGGAAAGACGGCACAGGGTCCCTCCACTGCCAAAGAAGAGACCAAGAAAAAGAAGGAGATGATGAAAGCGCTGGAGACCCCAGAGGAGAAGAGAGCCAGGCGTCTGGCCAAGAAAGAGGCCAAAGAGAGGAAGAAGAGAGAGAAGATGGGCTGGAGTGAAGAGTACATGGGCTACACCAACGCCGACAATCCGTTTGGGGACAACAACCTGCTCGGCACCTTCAAATGGCAGAAGGTGAGAGAGATGGAAGGAAAGGGTGGAAATGTGACCTTTTGATCTCGTTACGAAACAAAACAATATTTACCTCAAAACATGCCATGATACGATTCAGGAGCCTGTGATAGATATATCAATTATGATATTATGTGCTAGGACTGGTTATTGACTGAAATTTCACAATTTGATTCGATTTCGATTCACAAGCTTGTGATTCGATATCGTTTATTTTGGATATATCAGGTACTTTACATAGCAAATTTTCTTTAAAAAAACAAAAAAAAACTGCTGTGAACTAGTTGGTACTACATTACTATAATAATGAAGGTTCAAATTGACTGATTTGTGTACAAAGAACACTTAAAAGGACATTTTTTAGTATAATAAAGTTATAATACTAACTTTATAATTACACAATTACGTTTTGACTCCAATTCGTTTTTTTAAATACAAATGGTGTATTTATTTATTTAAAATAAATGGTAATTGTCATCATAACTCTTTGCTTGATCTGAGGAGGCAACAGATCTGTTACGCCACATTAAAGAGTACCAAAACGGTATTGTTAGAATTTTTACATATATAATTGACAGAATTTGAAATCCGAGACATTGTTTCTTATCAAATTTAAAAATCTTATTGCTAGTTATTGGATAGGAGGCGAGCTATAATGTTCTGTTCATTCATCAACTGAAAACAGGATAGACTAAAAGATCGATTCTTGGGGTGTAAGAATTGGAATCAGTTCATAAAAATGAGAATCAATATTTTTTTACCCAGCCCTATTATGTGCCTATTTTACACAGACAGCATTTTTTACTTACAAATGCAACCAATTGAACTCCTCTCTGAAAATCCTAAAACTCTTGTATCCCAATTGGGACATCTACAACAAAAAATACACTTAAAAAAAAAAAAAAGTACAATAAATAATTATAGAAAAAATCAATTACTAATTACTAATGAGTTTATCAGTCATCTGTTGATCATTCATCATTGACTTGTGTAATGAAAAAAATTAAGACATTAAGAAAAATCTCAAATGTATATTGATTGCTACATAATATTGTTAGTCATTTGATTGGTCATAGATTGATAACGATGTACCGTTACACCTAAATGCATCTTGATATTGCAGGGATGTTGCTTGAGAAAGTCTGGTCAGGACTAAAGAAATAAAGTTCATTTTTCTGCTGTGTGTGTGTGTGTGTGTGTGTGTGTGTGTGTGTGTGTGTGTGTGTGTGTGTGTGTGTGTGTGTGTGTGTGTGTGTGTGTGTGTGTGTGTGTGTGTGTGTGTGTGTGTGTGTGTGTGTTTTCAGGCTCTGGAGATGAAAGGCATCGGGCACTTGTCAGAAAAAAATCTGAAGGAGAGAAATAAACACATCCAGGAGGAAAACCGCAGGGAACTACAGAAGGTGCCAAACACAAAATATACATTTTTAGATGTCTAAATAGTTTCTATTAATTTTCACCCTCAGTTTAGTCTATCAAATTAAACTGAATGGAAATAAGAAATGTTGTTTTGTCTTTAGCTGAAATACAATAAGTTTAATTTTTAAAAAGGTTATTTTAAGGACCTGAAGTTTTTTTCTACTGGTTTAGTTAACTAGAATCAACATATGAATTGAACTTTCAGTCATAACTATTGATTCATTTCCCTAATGAAATGTTCTTTCATAATAAATTGTTCTGTATTTTTGTACTACTTTTTAGGTCTGAATGTGCATCCAGATTGCTTTTGGGAAATAAAAACTGAAGTAAATGCGCGAGACTTGTGTGTTCAGGTGAAGCAGCTGCGCCTGGAGCGAGAGCGGGAGAAGTCCATGCGGGAGCAGGAGCTGGAGATGCTGCAGAGGGAGAAAGAGGCGGAACATTTCAAAACATGGGCGGAACAGGAGGACAACTTTCACCTGCACCAGGCCAAACTGAGGTCACGCTCTTCAGATGGCGAATCTTTTTCTACACGCATACATGTGATTGGATCATTTGTGACGTGTTTCTGTGATTCAGATCTAAGATTCGTATCCGTGACGGCCGAGCGAAACCCATCGACCTGTTGGCTAAATACATCAGCGCTGAAGATGATGATCTGTCGGTGGAGATGCATGAGCCGTACACCTTCCTCAACGGACTCACCGCCACAGACATGGAGGACCTGCTGGAGGACATCAAGGTGTGTGAGAGAGAGAGAGAGACAATCGTTTAACACTTGATTGGTTCAGACATTACATTAAGATGTAAAGTAACCATACTTCTTACACAACTTCCATGGTGATTTTGGTCATAGTCGTAGTTTTACCCGCTATGTTACTGGCTGCAGGTGTACATGGAGCTGGAACAGGGGAAGAACGTGGATTTCTGGAGGGACATGACCACCATTACTGAAGACGAAATCAGCAAACTGCGCAAAATGGAGACGTCAGGGAAAGGGCCAGGTGATGTGATGACCTTCGCTATCATATTTACATCCTGTTTACTGTACACTTGATTCATTTCAGAGTAAATGTTGTATCAAATAAATGTTCACTAAATGTTAGTACGGTAGTGACTTTAATTTATGCTATCAATAAATTTGTATAGTTTTTTCAAGACTGAATTTACACCACTATTCAAAAGTTTGGGGTCTTTTTTAAGGAGTTAGCAAAGATGCATTAGATTGATCAAAAGTAGCAATAAAAGCTTTTATAATGTTACAAAAGATTTCTATTTCAAATAAATACTGTTCTTTTGATCTTTCTATTCGTCAAAGAATCCTGAAGAAAAGGTATCAAGGTTACCTTTCCACACAAATATTAAGCAGCACAACTGTTTTAAACATTGATAATAATCAGAAATATTTCTTGAGCATAAAATCATCATATTAGAATGATTTCTTAAGGATCATGTCACACTGAAGACATGAGTAACGATGCTGAACATTTAGCTTTGATCACAGGAATTAATTAATTTTTTTATTCAAATAGAAAAGGTATTTTAAATTATAGTAATATTAACAACATTACAGTATTTTTGATCAAATAAATGCAGCCTTGGTGAGCAAAAGAGACTTACTTAAAAAAACATACTAATCCCAAACTTTTGAATTGTAGTGTATATTTTTTATTGTATTATAGTTTATTCATAATTTATTTGTCATTATTATTATTATTATAGTTTTTCATACAACAGTGGACAAATATTTGTAATGACCCTGCAAGTTCGATTAAACCATCAAAATACATGGACAATATTTTATATTTGCAATTATTGTAATAACACTAAACTGGTTAAGGTATTTATCTGACAAAATTATTTGGCAAAAAAGGGGTTAACTACAACTACAGGTTTTATTTTACTATGCAAAAACAAAAAAGCTCACAGGAAAAAGCATATGTGGACTACAACAATCAGTTATTAATATTCATTGGTTCTCGCTTGGCTTTTGCATGTTCATAATTTCTTTGTATGTCAGCCTGGCCCAAAATTGTCACGTTTCATATCACAAATAAAATGATTGACTCCAAGCACACCTAAGCAATATGCTTACAAAATCGTTTTGAATAATATTTGAATAAAGTGTGAAGATGTTAATTTTCCTAGTCCAACCATCACTTTTGGCCACTAGCTACAGTTCTCTCTAAATAACGGCAGTGAACTCATTTGAAATCTACAAATTCACGTAACAGTGCACATGAAATATGTTATATGAAATCTGTGAGGTTATATAGTTTTCTACAACACTTCTCATAATGTAGTATATTCAGTAATGAAAGTCATCCATCTCTGATTTTGGTGTTTGATTCAGGTGACCGGCGTGAGGGCATTAACACATCTGTCAGCACAGATGTGCAGAGTGTGTTTAAAGGGAAGACTTACAGTCAGCTTCAGGCTCTTTATATGAACATCGAGAGTAAGATCCAGGCCGGAGGCTCCAACCTGGACATCGGCTACTGGGAGAGTCTCCTGCAGCAGGTGCGGGTCTACATGGCACGGGCCAGGTGCGTATCCCAGCACAACTCTCATGGGGATCTTGGAGGTTTTTAGCATTCAGCAATGTCTTAAAATAAGGGCCTGTGTGTGTTTGTGAAGGCTGAGAGAGCGCCATCAGGACGTCCTGCGGCAGAAGCTGTATAAACTCAAGCAGGAACAGGGTGTGGAGAGTGAACCGCTTTTCCCCATCATCAAAGAGGAGCCAGAGAACGAGCGGCCCATGTGAGTGATTTCATTTCTACCTGAACCTTCAGACTTACATGTGCTATTTTTTTAAAGAGACTAATTTGAACTGGAGAAAAATGCTATATAACTGTATTTTTTAAGATGGAAATAAACTCAATCTGCTTAATTAAACATGCAACTTTGTGAGGTCACATAACTAAGTAGTTTACTACAATTTTAAATGATTATTGTTGCATTCTGAAAACTTTTTATTTTATAAATAGTATGCATTATACATTATGTACTTCTTACTAAAAGTATGCTAATATTCCTGGGTTTCCATGATGATAGAAAAACCTGGAAATAACCTGGAATTTGTATTATAATTAATAAATTTGGGCCTGAAAATATCATGGATACAATTATCTAGTTACTCAGCTCTAAATAACTGAAAATTCTGGTTCTAAAATAGCTCTAAAATATGTCAAAACCTGAAATTGCACTATAATATATATATATATATATATATATATATATATATATATATATATATATATATATATAAAACATAATGATCTAATCACAAATAAAATAAACTATTTTTTTTTAAAAAGTCAGAAAAATTCAATAAAAAGAATTGCATTCCACACGTTTGATTTGTCCATTCTGTTACCCATTAGCCCTAGAGAGGCAGAGTCTGCAGACGAAGAAGCGGGCAGCTCTCAGCAAGGTGTCCACTTGGAGAAAGAGCAGGGCAGACAGACCAAGAGGAAGGATGGAGAAGAGGGTGAGCGGTCAGGAAGAAGCAGTCCTGAGGAGAAGAAGGGAGATGGAGAGGAGGGAGAGAAAGATGAAGCCGCGGAGTCCGTGTTAACAGAGGAGGATTTGATCCAGCAGAGTCAGGCTGAGTACGACTCGGGCCGCTACAGTCCCACACTCCTCCAGCCCTCCGAGTTACCGCTGGACACACACATCATGAAGGTGGAGGAGGACCTGCAGAGACTCCTGCTGGCCCGGAGACAGCTGCAGGTGACAGGTGCGTATCGCATCATAGACCATAGTGACGTTACACACACCACATGCTATAACGTTTCACTACCAGAATTGGATCAGGAAAAACAGTCAAATGTGAACGTTTAAAGTTGAAAATAAGCCTGCACTTTCATTGTTTGGAAGATTATTTTGGGCCAGAGCAACGTTATTTCTTTGGCTTCCTGATCTATCTTCCCACTCTTTTTTTGTAGCTTTAAATAAATAAATAAATAAATAAATAAATAATTCCTGCACACTGGGTGCTTAGAAAAGGCAACATGTGAAATTGCATGTAATTTCAACTTCTGCCACTGGGAGGCGCATTATGTCCCACCCTGCCTCTGTACAGGCCACTTTGAATTTGTGAGGGTGGTAAAAATATGTAGAAAGATTTTTAAAAATTGTTTACATTTTATGTGGGTGTTACAAACAGCAGAAAAGCAGGAAATAGACTCAGGGAGGCACTTAATGGCCTTCACTAATGGTTACAGAACATGTTTTACTTGATATCTTCAGGTTGTCATCCCAAAGTATCATACTCTTTGATGTTCCCTTAAAGGGATAGTTCACCAACATTTTTTAATTCTGTCATTAATCACCCTCATGTCATTCCAAACCCGTGAGATTTTCGTTCATCTTCGGAACACAAATGAAGATCTTTTTGATGAAATCTGAGAGATTTCTGTCCCTCCATTGACAGCTATGAATGAAGCTACAAATGACACTTTGACAGTTCAAAAAGTTCATAGAGAGATCATAAAACTAATCCATATGAATTGAGCGGTTTAGTCCAAATTTTCTGAAAATAAAATGTTACGAGGCGTGCGTTTGAGCTTCAGCTAAAACCAAAAAGGTTTGTTCTCACTCGTCAAGCAGGTTCAAATGAGCGTCTGTATATGTTCGCTGATCAGTGTTTAAATGTGAATAAAAGCGTAAATTCAGCCAACTGGAATTAAAAATTCGACAAAGTTGTAAAATAAGGCCCCATTTACGCTGCATGGTTCAAGTGACCCAAATCCGATTGTTTCCTCTCATGTGGCACAGATCGGATATGACCGGTGAACGTGTAAGCAGGAACATTTTCGATTTTCTCAGATCGGATTCAGGCCTCACTCATATGTGGTAATAAATCGGATATGAATCGGATACGTGCATTTGCGTGTGCCATGTAAGCAGACAAATCGGATATTCCCCAGTAAATGCAAGTCGTACGTCATTAAAAAAGTGACGTCAACTCAGGTGGACACCACTGAGATCACATGACTTATTATAGGCGCGATGGAGGACGAAGGATAGAGCAATGGGGAGGTTTCATGTCTTTTGAGTGTTTGGGGCGAAGAGACAGTGCAGGCAAAAATGCAGGGTTGTTACAGAAATAAATCCGTGTTTGAAGACATTTCACGAGATATGGGGAGGCACGGTTTTAAGCACTCGTGGCTACAGTGCCACCGTAAGATAAAAAGCTTAATGACTTTTAAAAATATTGTGGAAAGCAAAACACTGGATAATTTTATTCGCATCTGCATCCATTGTATTTCGTGCTGTTTTACTTCCCTTTCTGGGTCAGAACGTCTACATTTGGTAGTTTCAGGAGTGTATAGTGTAAATGCAAAAATCGGATACGGGTCACTTTTAAAATATGATGTAAGCGGGTCGTCAAAAAAATCGGATATAGTCAGAAAATCAGATTTGGGCATCAAGACCTGCAGTGTAAATGCAGCCTATGTGACTGTAAAGATTCTTAACTGATAGGAAAATAAAACTAGCTTATTAAGAGTTCACATTTGCCTTCTGTTAAGATTTATTCATGCTAAAACTTTTGTCTTTTTCTTGAACAGGTGATGCAAACGAAAGTGCGGAGGATGCATTTGTGCGTCGCGCTAAAGAGGGAATGAGCGGCGACGAGGCCCAGTTCAGTGTCGAAATGCCTTTGACTGGAAAAATGTACCTGTGGGCCGACAAATACCGCCCGCGCAAGCCCCGCTTCTTCAACCGCGTTCACACCGGCTTCGAGTGGAACAAATACAACCAGACGCATTACGACTTCGACAACCCGCCGCCCAAGATCGTCCAGGGCTACAAGTTCAACATCTTCTACCCCGATCTCATCGACAAACGCTCAACTCCACAGTACTTCCTCGAGCCCAGTCCCGACAACAAAGACTTTGGAATTCTGCGCTTCCACGCCGGACCGCCGTACGAGGACATCGCCTTCAAGATCGTGAACCGTGAATGGGAGTATTCCCATCGCCATGGCTTCCGCTGCCAGTTCGCCAATGGAATCTTTCAGCTGTGGTTCCACTTTAAGCGGTACCGTTACAGGCGGTGAAGAGGACGACCTGCTGGCGTTTGATTCATATAAGCCAAGTGTTGATTATAGAGAACACTGAACGTTTATTTTCAAATGCTGTAAATCTAAAAATACAAGTACAAACTCTGTTTATTGATGCCACACACATCCCCCGTTAGTGGAAAACCAGTTTTTCAAAGGGGTAGGACCTACATACGTGTACTTGACCTTGACATTCTCTGTTTTGCAGGCACTTTGCTTAAATTTTTATTCCTTTTTAAACCATGTCAGTTGTTTGTACCTTAAAATTGTTATTCTTTTTCTATTTGTCTTTGAGATGTTACATTAAAGGTTGTTTGCCAACTTTTTTTGTGCTCATTTTTTTATTTTTGTTTTTCATTGGCAAAAGGCATTTTACAGCATTTAAAGTACAAAAATTAAAAATATTGTTAGCATCTAAAACAAGTCTCTGCTGTACATTCATATATATATATAAACAAACATGTAACATTAGCTGCGTTAAACTTTGACTAAGATGCAGTCATTTGACACTTGTCTTGGCATCCTGAAGATACAGGAAGTTCATTCTTGTCCATGTGGAATTTCCTTTAAAGGCAACATACATGGGTTTGTTGCAACACACACTGCAGGTTTTAACAAGACATCATTTTTTAACCCCCGAAAGGTGCCCCTGCCCCTAAAACAGGAAAACAACCAATACAATTGTCCTGAAATAGAATCAAAATAGTCTCTTGTCTCAGACTTCAGGGCTAATGTTTTTTTATCAGCTGACCTGAAAAAAAAAAAAAAATCATATTTACAAGATTCTGAGTTAATAAATGATAACTGGATTTGATTCAGTTTGTTTGCGGCACTTACTAGCAAGTAAAGTATATATTTATTAGCAGAACAGTATTTTTGGCCTTGTTAGGGGCCGTTCACACGAAATACTTATTCCACTGCACTAATTTTCAGTTTTTCTATTTAAACTTGTCCTTAAACTTAGACTCACGTGTTTGACCATTGCGCTTGCGCTTTTTAATTTTTTATTCCACTGCACAGCCCTTGCAAAAATGCGTTCTGTGTTAATCGCCCTTTAGGCCTGTGAAATAATCAGTATTTATTCATTTAGGACAGGATGCAATTCTTATCACTGAGAGGCCATTCACACAGAATGTGTTTTCTTTTAACATGAGTACCGCATTTGTCATGCGCAAGATGCAGCAAAAGATGTTAGCGCTACGTTCAAAGACATCCTTCTATAGCATGCTAACATAGAAAAAAGCAACAACAAAAAAGTGCGGTGTAATGCAAAAGGCGTTCTGTGTGACCGACCCCTAACTCTTTACATGGTTTTACTGATTTCTGAGGAACCGTTTGTGGATACTCCTGCGTTATTTTTCATATTGTGATGTAATCTATTTTATAAAGCACACGTGTGGTTGGTCGCTTGTGTAGGTACATGATAAGATGATCATTTCCTGTCTAAGTGGGCCGTTCCTAAAGACGTATTATAATAGTGTGGGTACAGGGTATTTACTGCTATAGCTATAGATATACATGCTGTATGGCTGCTAGTAGCCTATGTGATGTAGTTGTGTATGGTTTGGGAATAAGGAAGAGCCTATAAACCGACTCCCCAAATGTTTTCGATGTGTTCTGGAGCTCGGGAGGTGCTCGTAAGATACTTGGCTCAGCTTGGAATTCCTCTTACATGATGCAATCCGCATTTTAAAAGGCAAGCAACAACAAATCATGAGGCAGCTCAACAAATATGATTTGAAATATTGCCAAACAGTTTGGCACACTAAAGCTGGTTTTGCATGATTGAAATAGCTGCCTAGTGGCGTCACAAATATGGCCACCAAGTGATTTGACTTTGAAGGGACTTTAGCAGTTCTTTGCCAGTATAAGCTACAATGTGGACAGGCTTTATGCTCAAAAGTCTGGTTCAGTATCTTCATATTCTTTTTTTCATATGAAACATATGCCAAATGTTTGGCACCACATTTGGCATATGGTGGTTGAACAGTGGCATTTAGAATGAAAGGCAATTCATCAAGGACACAAAGTGGGTCAAAACAGCAGTTTAGTCACGAGTTAGCAGGTGCAAAAGAGGATCCAGCACCCGTGGGCTTGGTCTGCATTTAAAAGATGAACTATCACATTAGCTGCATTAGCAAGTCTGTGCATAACAACGATCTCAGATCTCTGATTCATCATCTATATATCGCAATGAGATCTGACCTGAGGAACCAACCGTGGTTGAGAGTCTGTCTGTTTCTCTAGAGATGGAACACCTCTGGATGTTTGGATGGTTGTTGTTGCTGTTCATGTTCACTGTTGATGATACTACTTTATGTTGTTGAGCCTGGTTTTCATAGAGGCTTTCGTCTCCGCACCTGTTTGTCGTGTCCTTTACCCTACTGTGGCAACATGGCAAAGGTAAATGCCCTTTGTACAGGTTCCAAATTACTAGCATTGCTAGAATTAACGACAATATCACCACCATGGCCACTAGGGTGTTCTCTTTTTCCTTAACGTCACTGAGGGATGCTGTAGTCCCAGGTCCTGACCACATTTTGAGATCATATGCTACGTGCTGGGCCTCGTATTTCCCCTCGACAGAACTGCAGGTGTAGAGGCCGCTGGCTTCTGCGGAGGCGTTGAAGATCATTAGGCTGTCCGAGAGGATCTGGAAGGTGTTTGACGGTCCGATCGGCTGTCCGTTCAGCTGCCAGTGAACCTTTGCCAGGTTGGAATAAGGCTGGCACCACAGCTTCACGGTATTGCCATGGAAAACCAAGATGTTGACTGGCTTATTGCCACCTGCAATACAAGGTCTAGATGTAGATTCTACCAAAACATACAGTATAAAGATTTTGGGATATACTGTATTACAATTACCTATTGGTGGACATCGACTGGCGTCACCGTCACTCAAACTCTGAATCACGGTGCTGTGGAAGAAAAAATATTACAGCAATCAGTAATATGCCAATATCAATATTTGTAATGGTGTGCGAAATTATCACTTAAAAAGATATACTGGTACAAACACATTCTGCATTAAGAACAAATTTTTGATTCATTTTTATGACAATTAAACATTTCCTGTAAAATTTCCATCACCATAATGCATATATTATATTATATTTATTATATTTGTCTTTTGACCTGGTTCTGGTTCTGTGTGTGCTGTCTATGGTAGAGCAGCGGCCGGTGTTGAGGTCCCAGCCACAGTACGGATCCCTGGCCAGAACGCAGTCCAGACACGTGTGGTACCGCCCACATTCACTAATGGACAGCTGCACCACGCCCACCTCCGAACCCACGTACAGCTGTTGTTGGGATGACATCACACATAACTTAACATCTCTAGTATAGACAATAATAGAGATTACAATTATTTTGATTGGTCCCAGCTGAACATACATAACCCAAAATAATCCTTTAGAACAACACATGTCCGACACAGCACCATTTAAAAGTTTAAGGTCAGTCAGTAATATATATTTTTAAAGAAATGAACTTTTATTCAACAAGGATGCATTCAATTGTATGAATTGTATAAATTAAAAATATTGTTATTTTGTTTTATTTTGTTAATTGCTATTTATAATTCTGTTCATCAAATAATGTATCACAGTTTTCACAAAAATATGAAGTACCACTGTTTTCAACGTTGATAATAATAATAAATGTAATTTAAGCAGCAAATCAGCATAGTAGAATGATCTCTGAAGGATCATGTGACACTGAAGACTGGAGTAATGATGCTGAAAATTCAGCTTTGCATCACAGGAATAAATTACATTTCACAATGTATTCAAATAGAAAACAGTTTTTTTGTAATAATATTACTGTTATATAATAGTATTATATTTCATAATTTTACTGTATTTCTAATAAAAAAATGCAGCCTTGGTGAACATTAGTGACCTCTTTCAAAAAAATATTTTACAGACCTTAAACTTTTGAACATTAGTGTATACAGAAAATAATTGTTAACTGCTATTTAAGATTTGACTTAGAATGCCATTCAACCCATGACTTTGGCATTGTTGTTTTACCAAGTTAGCTTTGCTGACAGAAACAGAGTATAACATTTCACGACAAACACAGCTCATGATGTTGCTAAGTGAGAAATAAACACAGCTCATATTGTTGCTAAGTGAGAAATAAACAAATTGATCAGCTTTTCTACCTTGGTGTTGGAAAGTCGCAGTATCTTGACGGGCTCTGAGGGCTCAAATACCTGAATCTCTTCCATAATAACCATCTCTCCATCATAATTCACAGCTTTCAGCACTGAACCGCTCTCTGATACATAACAGAACCGAACACAACGCGGAAGACAAGACAACAATCTCAGTTAAACACACTTACACAGCTGAAGATGCCATTAAATGGCTTGAATATATTCAAATAAATTATATAATATCATATCATAATACAGAATTATATTATCTGTATTAGTAATGGTGTAGACAGAAAAATCATTGGGTGAACATCACAAAAAAATAAATGATTGTGCATACATTTTTCTGACAATTAATCAAATTTTTTATAACATATTTTCTTTTGAGGGTTTACAAAAAAAACCCCCAAAAACAAGATTAACATAAAGGCATCTTTACTTGTGCCAATGAGCATGACGTGATAGTTGCTCCCGTTCAAGGCAGTCGCTGTGGCCACCACAATTCTAGTGAAAGCAGTGCCTCTCTTCACCAGCAGGGCTTGCTTTCCAATGGGCGAGACGGCCTGGTCCATCAGAGGCTTTTCTTTAACGAACTGCAACGTTTTGTCCGGCAGATCCAGGGTTTGGGTGAAGCCCTGTTCTCTGGCATGATTATCAATGCACTTTAGTGAGAAGCAAAGGGAAAGTTACTGAACTTTGGTATCCATTAATATTGAACGAGTGCCGAACCGAATTATTGAACAGAAGACTCACTGCTCCAGGTCGAGGGTCAGGTAGTTCGGTCGAGTACATCGCCCACTTCACAAACGACGTCTCGACGGTAAACGGAGCCTTAAACTTGCTCTTTGAGAACACCGTCTTGACGTCTTCAATTTTGTATGCACACACTGCAGAGTATTGAGAGGAGTCTCTGCCGATCAGACACGACACATCAGTTTCAATGGTTTGTGGCATCGAATCTTTCAAAGTTTGGTTTGAGAGTGCAAGTAATTGAGATATGCTTTAAACAAAATCAAAGAGCTCAAACTTACAATTGTAGAGTAAAAACACCATAAAAGACGCAGGTGGTCCAGTTATCTTTTTGGCACAAGTGGAACATG